GCCAGATTTAGTGGCATCTAGTGGTGTAGTTGCAGATTGCAACTCACTTGTTTCCCCCTCCCTTTTCATGTGCGAGGGAAACGCACAAAAAACACAAAGGGCCCTATCTTGAGCCAGTTTTTGGTTTGTATGTTCTACTGTACAAACATGGTGGTTCAACATGGCGGCCTCCTAAAAAACATTATGAAAGACAGTGTGAGGTCCACAGGGGTGAAGAAGCTCTTCCCTCTATATATATTGAGCTTAACCTTACCATCAAAATCAATCTTTCCATCTTTGTTTGAGTCTGCTTCACCAAACATCTCATCAATATCTTCCTCTACGACTGCTTCTCCAGTGAGATGGAGGATGTCTCCGAACTCCTCCCGGTCAACGAAACCATCTCCATTCCTGTGGTGAAAATGATATTTTAATCTCACTGTGTGAAAACAAATCTCTTGCCTCCTTGCTCTCGTATATCAACACACAAACACACATTGCAGATATTTGTTAAAAGTCAATTGCATTGTCTATACAGACTGAGGGTAGTATCATATAGGAGTTATAAATAAAGTTGATTTGTTGCTGAACCATAATGTCTCTATAAAACTATGGTGTTTGACAAATAGTTTCTCAAACTGTTTAATGATTCTGCAGGCCATAAAATTGTTTCTAAAATTTTAAAATATTCCAATAGGCTTTTCAATTTAGCATTAGCAGAACATAAACATCTTGTGCAATAACATGGTGTTTGCTCTTGTCTTTCTATTAGTATTTGGTGTCATACTTGTCAAAGATACGGAAGCATTCTGAAAGTTCTTCTTCACTCTTTCCAGCCTGGTCCTCCTTTAACTGTTGCACCATCATGACCAAGAACTCCTCAAAGTCAATGGTACCACTGCCTGAAGAGATGAGGAGGTGAATAAGTGAAGAGAGAGGATGCCACCAGGGTTACCTTGAGAAAGGCTTGATTTGAAAATTTGACAGAAAATAATTGTTATAAATTGGTGGCACAGAAATGGAAAGAATATGGTATTTAGCAGGCAGGTTGGGTCTATTAAGAAATGCTGCTGAGTTACATTATGGGAAGGATCCAATGTTTTTGGAGCTTGACTTGTCTGGACTGCAGCAAAGCAGGTTCAGCCCTATAAACACTAAGTCTGTCCCTGACTTAGTGAGCGAGTCAGTGAGTGATAAAGTTACACCACTGATCGGTCGAATTCCCCATTGGTCATTGCTGTTTAAACTGAATAGATGTGAATGTTAGTTATGTACCATAACTCCAGATTCTACAAGTATAGGCACTATATTGATTTAACAGTATGAAAAAGAGTGCACTGTCTATCAGTGCAGTTGGCTTTAATTGCTGTACAGCTGTAAATTGCACTTACTTTACATTTAATTTGTAATAATATGTTAATTCCACTACAGGGGAGACAGGATTTTCTCTGCTATTAGGTTGAAAAAATATGTGGATATATCAGCATTGGCCATCGGTTAAAATGAGCTGGAAAATCAGCATAGGCTGTGCCTATCCTTTGGAGGTACCTAATTAATCTTCTATTTTGTATAGGGTTCACTCTCTAAGGCTAGTTGGATAAGATGAGATGTGTCTGTGAACACTGACGTAAGCAACCACACTCACATGACGTGAGGGACTACTGCAGAAGATTTGCATTACACTACTGCTCACTATTCATTTTAGCAATTTGGCCACAATTTGACAGTCCAGCCATATACAAGGTTTCAACCTAGCCTTCAACATTATGGAAATACAGTACTACTATTAGTACTATTATTGCTGGAGTATCTCTATGTTGTGAGTCTTATTGTGTCCCTGATGTATTTACTTTAAGCCACAGTGAGTGCAGAAATTAGTAAATCCACCTCTTTTGCTCTGAAAACAGCACAAACAAAAAACTATTTCAGAGCCAGGGAACAAAAAAAATTCAATAGAGCAACTCAGTCCCATCAATCATTCTTAAATGTCATTAAGATGCTACATTTGTTGTCCTTTTTCTATTATCTGACCACACAATAATCTTACCATCCTCATCGACCTCCTCAATGATGGCATCCAACTCCTCCCTTGATGGGTTCTGACCCAGCATCCTCATCACGGTACCCAACTCCTTGGTGCTGATGTCACCGCCACCGTCCGTGTCGAACATGTCAAAGGCGGCCTTGAACTCTGGACGAAAGATGGAAATAGTTCAAAATCGGACAAGTCCAACGTGGTAAAACAAAATCAAGGACAAAATAAACTTTGGATCTTGTGCTAGAAGGCTTGTGTTTCCTTTTTAAAAGGTTAAAAAATTAAGGATGACACATCTTCTCTACTCGGAAATAGTGGTCAGTTGTGATTCATGTATGTCAGAAAATC